CCTATATTTTATCTACAAGTGCACGTCACACACTGAGCGAGCCGCCTGTTAATGACGCTGTCGGCAAAGCACTAATGATTGTTCTAAGTGGCTAATGGGCATGTAGCTACTTACACGTTTCAGATGATACGTCATGTTTGTAGTCGTCCAATGAAGATGAGTTTACATATCACCTTGGATTTGTCCTTCACCATCTCAAAGTGATCCCACACTTTGGATTTCCTGTCCGACATGTTAATAATAATTGCATGTACCAGCCCTGTTAATTAGGGGCCATACAAATGCCATGTCTTCAACCGAAATCTTGCGGATTAATAACCTTTCTGATCGACTAACGTTTGGTTGACTATTAGGGGGCAGCCCTATTAGGTTAATGTCCATTTTGGCGACTGCAATGACATAAAGCAGTTATCAAATACAAGTAAGTCAGTGGATGTTAAAGATTTCTTTCAACTGCCTTGAAGCTCAGCCAGTGAATTCAAATTTGGATATGAGTGCTTGTTTACATTAGGGATCAGACGATGTTAGATTAATCACTTCTGCATCATCTAAAAAGGTAAATACCAGTCCTCCAAAGTGAATATTTATTGCAGTGACAAAGTGTTTACCGATCAAAAAATAAACAGAGAACAAAGGAAGAAAGACAAACAAATCATCCTGAAAATGACTTGGGACACTAGTTTGACAGGAACAAAAAAAAAAAAGAAAAAGAAAAAGGAGACCGAATCTTACTCTCTCTGAGAATATTCTCCTGGTACCATTATAATATATTAGCACCTCTGGAGACTCTTTCTGTTGCGATTCGTTAGTGCCAACGGCAAGACTTCACAGCTTTATTCAGAGAGGCACTCCTTATTTCCCTTCGAAGTCCTGAGGGAAATAGAAGACAGCAAATACTGCAGGTGCAGGCACTGCTGCAGAACAGTGTAGTACGGGGTTTATGAGTGAAACTAGAGTGGCAAAGTGTGAGGATATGAACATCTCAGAAGGGGTATGCACTGGAGAGAAAACAACAAGCAAAGACAGAGATGGAGAACCAGAGAGAGGGAAAGAGACATACTTTTGATGTTCCTTTTAATAAACTATTACCTTAAAATGAGGACAAAAACATCAGCAAGCCAAACAACTGCGCCACACACACACACACACACACACACACACACAAACACACACATGCCTCTGAATTGCACTCAAGCCAAATCAAAGCAAAGATAAAAGCAATGACACTATCTGAGACAATCAGCCCGACGGAGCTTGCTTTACAAATAGAAATTCAAATATAAAATAATCAAACTCTCCTCACCCACAGAGCAAACTGCCCTTGTGCATTCTTAAAAGCATCAGTGTCATTTCTTGTGCAATAAAACATGAACTCAATCCTGATGGACTGTGACCAGCTCACACAGACACCAGATACACAGAGAGTGAGATGTATTTCATGTATTCATTTTGTTACATTTCATGCCAATACACCTCATTTGAATTGAATCGACAAACAGAGAGAGCGATAGAGAGGGAACTGGCTAGTAGGCTGATGCAACACACAGTTGGCAGGGTATCATGAGTAATGGACAATGGCCTTGGAACGCATTACATTCCACCTAGCACAGAGCGTGCGTGTGTTTATGCGAGTGTGGGGCTGTTATGGTATGAAATTGGAAAACAGCGGTCTGAAAAAGCAAAATTGCGACAGGAATATTGAATTTTGAAGGTATATTATAGTGCAATCAGCCGACACAGGGTGACTGCAATCAAACATTTGCTCACCAGCTGGAAATTACCTGTTACCTCTGCAACACAAGAGCCAGCAGTATGTTTTCCTGCAGCTTTTGAAGAGAGGGCCAGCCACGACAGCTGGAGCAGAGGGTGGGAAGTTGGATAACCTGCGTTTTGGTTATGTCAGATTACACTATAGACAATTTTTTGAGGAGGTTAGCTATAAATAGACAGAAACCAAGACCAAGAGACCCAGATGGAGAGATGTAGAAAGAGAGCGATTGAAAGAGAGACACAGAGAGAGGCTCTGGCATTAGACGTCTACTCCACAGAGCGGGGTGATTCAGTCTGTCAACGCCCACAGAGCCTGCCCATCCTCATAAAAACAATGATTCTGACTCGGCTCACCAAGAAAACAACATGACATTTAGCTCTAAACCCTGGTCTGGAACTCCCACACAGACACAAAAGCATTATTGGGAGAAGAAAAAAAAACATCCTATTGAACAGATTACAGAGAAACAGATACAACAGCCCTCTGTGACAACTTGTAAAGTGCCGCCGATGCACGCTGGGAAGTCTTGATGACATTTACACTTAAACCCTGGTTCTGAACACACGCTCGCACACGCACAATCACATAAGCATGCTTTCTTCCTCTAACGCCCACTCAAATAAAATTAGACTGAAGCATAATGAGTGAATCTGCGGATACGTAAAGATGAACTGAGACAATAAGGCATTTCTGAGCACTGCGGCGAACAAATAATCAGTTACGTGATGATCCCGTAATCATGTTAGTGATAAAAATCCCATTACCTCCTGATTATACATCAGCCTCCTTACTCTGTTCAAGTGCTCTGTAGAACAACCACGAAGGATGATGGAAAAATGACTAAGCCATATACCCTGTAGGCCCCCGAGTCATACAAAGCCTTGCTTAACCCATAGCCTCAAATAACCCGCACTGTACTGTCACAGCACGGACACTGACTGCACATAGCCTGTAGATCATCCTTTTCTCATTGCACCTACTCAGGGACTAGAGACTAAAATAAAAACTTATTTGGGTGCCTCTGTGAAACAATGACGGAAGATGTACTCACACAAAATCTAATTCCAGACAGTGGATAATACTAAATTTCACCCTTCCAGTCATCCTGCACTCATGCTTTTCGGCTCGTAATACCATACTCTCTTTGCTATCTTCCTCTTTTTTTTGCCAGTCTTCTCCCACACGCACACACAGCCATACTGCTATGCTATCACCACATGTCTCTAGCTTCTACTCTTATTTTTTTCCAATAGGAAATTGTCAATTACCCCAATTCTTTCTACTCCCTTTCCTACTTCACCTTTTTTCCTGTTATACATTTCTCTAAACTTGCAGACATCTATATCCACTGTTGGAAAAGCTGCCTCTCACATCAAAACTGCAAAAAGAAGCTCCACTACAGCGTTTCTTCAGGAAGAGAGCACCTCTGTAAGGGAGACAGACATCCTGTGGGCTGCGGTGTCATGCACCCAGACCCACAGAAAGACACTGATGGTTGGCTGGGATGAGGTGAGTTGGTTTTTTTATAGGACCCACTTTGGGGCTAGGCTCCCATTTGGGGACCTCAGCAGCTTAATGTCAGATGCATTAAAATGACAGGCTGCCATATGGCATCAGAGATTCAGTGACAGGCATCTTAGAAGACTCGTTCCTGTGACTGCTTCTAGCTCTACTCCTTTGACTCAATCACGAATTAACAGAGGGAGAAAAACAAAACTATACATCTCCACATTAATCTTGTGGTTTAGCGGAAAGAATAGAAGCTGGAGACGTCTTTGAGGTATGGATGAAATGAGGGAAGGAGAGATAAACAGGAGAAAGAAAGCCATAAAAGTTTTTTTCGGGGAAAGTGATCACATAAGGGGAATATGAAAGAAGAAAAATTGCCTCGTTCGGAGGAAGAGAGACTTTTTTTTTCTTTGCTCCACAGCATTGTGTCCCTGGGTGATTGTGTAGAATATGTATGTGTGCTCTGTGAGCAGAATATTGAACATTTCATTTTACCCAATTCACTAAGACTAGAGATTGATTCTCTATTTAGAATTCAGAGAAGCAATTAAGAGTAAAAGTCTGTTAGGGGCCATTACACCTAATGTACACTTTCTTTCACTGGGCGGTACAATGGGTTTAGACTGTTGGAACAACTGCAGCTATCTAGATCAATACTAAATGAACTCTAGATCCAAGCAGAATGTAAGTTCTTCGGACAAGCTCAGTGCTTGATACAATTTAATGTAAGGTGGCGGACGATAAAGAGCATTTAATAATGACACACATCTAATCTTGTTCAGATGCCGTAAACCCAAGTGGCAACGGTTCTCTAGGATAACAGAGAGACTTAAAACATCTGGCACTCCAGACAAAACTCCATCTTTGACAAAATAAAGAAAGCAAAGATAAGCCTGAATTAATTTTGCAAACCTCTCTTTCAGAAAATCCTCTTTTTTTGAGGTGGGGAGAAGTGGGGTGGGAATATGCAGAACCACCTACGCATATTCCTAAGAAGTAATCCAGAAGGCTGTTCACTGGCGTGTGTAGCACTCAGGCAGCTCCACAAAGACACATGCAAATGAAGTAAAGTCTCAAGTGGAGCAACAGGGGAAAGAGGGGACCAAATAGCGAATCACTGTCAACCGCTGAGCACAAATATGGAAAAGCTTAGCCTTGGAAGCATTTTCATATTCAAGGGACTTAACACACCATTGAAAGAACAATAAGTCACTATGACTTCCCCCACTATTCTTTGCTTTTTTTTCTTTCGCCTATGTGTAAAATGTATGACACCAACAGCTCATTTAATTAATATGACTTGGCATTACCAAAAACAGATGCTAAAGTGGTGGCAATAAAACCAAACTACCTACATCATACTTAAAAATAACTATCTTCCTTGAGACCCTGAAATAACAGCCTTATTATTCCTGTCTATTCCTAACACTACTCTGTAAACACAACTGTCTGCCAGTGTGTTTGGAAGTCATGCTTGCCCCACTTAAGCTACAAGAAGTGGAGGAGGCCACACTTTTGCAATCCGCTGCAAAAACAGGATTGCCTGAAGGGGTCACGTCTGACTCTCTGATGCTCGGCTTTGATGTACAACACTTCTTAATATTGATGTTCACCTACAAGACGTAGCTGTGTATGTACATGCAGTCAAGTGTGAGAGACGCCTCCTCAATATGTATGAACTCGCACATTCACACACAAACATACTGCAAGTCGGACTTACATTGCCGTGGTTGATGAACCCATGTTTCCTGGCGATGCGGTCGGCTTCCTCTGGCCCCCCATTGATCTGGACAGCCCAAGCATTGGTGTAGACCTCTGCAGCATTAATCCACTTCAGTTCAGCTGTCAGGAGGACAAGGACTGTCCATAAGTGCAGCAGGGCCACCCTGGCATCCATGAAAAGGAGAACACTTTGCAGGGCAGTCTATCCGTCCGTCTGTCACTGCTTCCCAGGCAGAGTGGGGCTGCTCTACCTTACTGCAGCAAAGTAGAACAGTGGCCTAGAGATGAGAGGACAGAACCAGCTATAAACACAAACATGGCCTTTTTAACTGGGTCATTCTTGGACCTGAATTACCTGCTGCAGATAACATTCAGCATACAACCCAGAACTGCAGTACAAAACATAAGCAGCACACCCACAGACCTTTGCATGCATCATACTTAGCTCACTGTTCACTGTCAAACTCATAGGGAAGGAAAAAAAACATCTTCATAAATGTGCAAAGCATAAATATTAGGTCAAAACAGACAAGGGTTCTGTTGAAAACAGAATTATTTTCCAATCCTTCCTTCTCTTTTTCAGACCTGGAATGGTAATGTATGGTAATGAAATACAGTAGGCATGTTGCTGCAATACAGGACGAGCTCCAAGCAAACCAGTACACAGATACAGCAGCTGTGGCAGCTGGACAGGCCAAAGGAGTCTTAAGGAGAGGGCATTTAAACTCTCACTCAGACGCTGCTCTTAAACTATTCCGAGAAAATTCAATTCAACCAGCCACTTATTAGGTATGAGGAGTTACTGTAAAGCACATTTTAATTGAATAGTAAAATAACAAGTGTGATAAAAAGGACCATAATTTGAGCACATGATCAAAAGAAAAACGTTTCCAGGCTGGGGCATTCTGCAGGTTTTTGATTTGTAAGTCTTTGAGTCTTTGGGAAGGAGCCCCGTAAGTCACACATAAAAAGGAAAGCTTTGTGGTAAGTTAACTGACTCCAAGTGAGCGAGAAGATGATAAGGTGTGGGATCCGCTAAGTATAACAGTCCGTCCTAGGAAAGATGAAGACGAGGGAGGTGATGCAGGTTTAAATGCTTGTCCAGTCCCACTGCTGATCCCACCAACACCGCATCAAAGTGCCATTCAGTGAGTCAATCCCCGCTACACTGATGTGAATAGAAATACTTTAAGTGTTCAATCTAAGCCTTTTTGAATTGAACACATTTAAGTCTGCTGTGTTCACTTGCAACTTTCTGCTGGATTTTCTGGGGAGGTTTAAAAATTCAAAGAAATTGAATTTACAATATAAACCTTCCTATACTAAGAACACACCTAAGAGGGGAGATGAATCTACAATTGGAAATATCTCTCAAGATTTGGCCTGAAATTCTCACACAGAACAGCTTGAAAGTACATAGCAGGACATTACAAGAGATTGCATATGATTCTGATTTACTTCCAAACAGTAAAGATAAGAGGTTTCAAACCTAGGCAAGGAGCCCTAAGATATACTGGAAGCTCTTAAAGACGAAGGAAATTTAAAGCTTCCAATAATTTAAGGATCAATTGAGACACTATTTAGAGCAAACAATAAGAAGGGAGAACCCAGATGGGTCCAAGTTAAAAATGATCAGCATATGATTCAGATTCAGGTAGGGAGTTAATATCGAAACTATATACAGTTGTGGAAATGATGCATTATACAAAGGAGCCTAAGGAGAAAAAGGAAAATATTGTGCTATCAGCAAATGGAAAGAAATCAATATGCGACTGTGGTAAACAACTTGCTCCTTATACTGTAGAAAATACAGATGGAAAAATTTTACAAGATTTTTTATAACACCAGCACAGACAAAAAGATAAGACAAAAGATGCTGGAGATTATGAGATGCAATTAAAGCAGATCACTCCCATGTTTTGGGAGGTTGCCCCTCTTTTAGCCTTTACTGGTTTGAGTGAAAGAAATGTATGGAGGAAATATTAAGGGGAAATTTCTACTTACATTGGAGACATTATACTGAAGGAAAACGAAAAAAAGGACTTAAAAGATTTGAAGACAAATACAGAAAATGATTGAATGAAAGAATGAGTATATGTTTAGGATCATGTTAAGGTGGTGGTTAGCCTTGTCGCCTCACAGCAAGAGTGTTCGTGGATTCAAACCTAGGGTGGGGGAGCCCATCTGTGCAGAGTTTGCATGTTCTCCCCATGTCAGCGCAGTCCAAAGACATGCAGGTTAATTGGTGACTCTAAATTGCCCGTAGATGTGAATGTTAGCATGAATGGTTTTCTGTCTCTATGTGTCATGCCCTGTGATAGTCTGGAGATCTGTCAAGGGTGTACCCTGCCTCTCGCCCAATGTCAGCTGGGATAGGCTCCAGCCCCCCCAAGACCCCTAACAGGAGAAGCAATTACCGAAAATGACAAATGAACATATATACATTTAGATATCATGTTATTTGCAAGTAAAAGAAAAAGCTAATGCCAGATATTGGCATTGGCTGAAGAAAGAGGTACCAAAGGTTAAAGAGTGGGTTGATGTAATACATATTAGCCTATCAAGTACAGAGTAGCTGACCTTTTCTTCCAGATTGGAATTGAACAAACTGAATAGAATTTGGGACAGAATTAATAGAATTTACTGGTTTCAAAAAGATGACCATTTTTCTGTGTGCCATTTTACTTTTCTTCTTTTCTTTTCTTACTTTTCTTCTTTTTTGCTTTATTGAATTGAAATGACTCACTGAAAGGGTTTGGACAGATACATGGATACATAGTAGGCACACCTATGCCTGCGTATATGTGTATGTGTATGTGTATATGTGTGTTTAAATGTATGTATGTATGTACATATATGCGCATATGTTTGTGAGTGTATAACAGGAAATATACAGACAAGTACTGATATGCAGATGTGTATATGGCCGTTGTAAAGTATTATGAAGTCAGTCTGTTCACTTTATTTGATTTTTTATCATTATTAAATGTGATGTTATTTTTTATGTTTATTAAAAAAAATAAATAAATAAGCCTTTCATTGTACAGAGGGAAGTAGAATGGGGGGGAAATAACTGTGCACACTGACTTGTTGTTCTACTTGCCACCATTACTGAATGTTCTAGTCCTTATTCTTTATTTTAACCTGGTAATGATGCCAAAGTTAGGTCTAAATACTTCAGTACCAATGGGCAATAAAAATGACTGAGCACATGCATGTTCCCTACAAGACGATCCTTTTATTTTAAGCACCTAATGAGATTTATATTTGCTCCGACCATACTTCATACTGTCAGTTGGGCACACAGCATATTCCGTGACCTACTAGGCAGATTGTTGTGATATTTGCTCAGCAGTTTTAGCCTCCCAAGGACATAAACCAATTTTTATTCTAATGACCATGTGGTCTTTCCTCTCTGGCCACCCTGAGGACATATTAACATTTTATCCCCAGTGAAATCATCACTGTAGTGTTCATTCTGTCAAACAGTTTCAAATTGTGGAGTGTGATGAACATTGCAGGCTTTAGGGGGCTGCTGTGGAAGTTCAGACTTTCAGTTTTGTTAATGGATTTTTGAAAAACAATGGAAGCCAGTGTCTCCTGCGAGGTGAGGCAAACCTGCAGTACAGCAGACTGTTCCACTGACCACTGTGCCTGAATGTGTTTACAGGCATTCAAGGTGAATAAAAAAAACCCAATGTATTTTCACAGTGCATTCAAATTAAGTGGTGATTATTTTGGCAGTAGGTGGCAGTTCACCTCCTGACACCACTGTACTGGTATAGATGGCACATAACGGGTGAAGACAACAAACAAAACAGCACATGGCAGCACAGACAGTCCAGTCATGCCGGGAAGCAGTTCAGTGAAATGATGATATTACTGTCCAAGTATACCTTCAGATGATCTGGGCCAACACAGACATACACTGGGACTAAAAACATCTTAGCCTTCAGATACTCTTGGGAAACAGGGGCGAGGTTTGTCACAGCTGCTTAAGCTTGGATCATGCTAAAAAAAATCCTTTTAGTGTGCACATCCATATTGATTTTCTACAGTGAATATGGGTCCTGTCAAATAACTGGCTCTTTCTCGAGGACTTGGAAAATGAAACCTTCTAACTCTAATTGAAAGAATGCGTATTGCTTGGCAGTGTACAATTTTAAATGTAGCAAGGTAATTGGTTTGCAGGTACGTTCTCCCTCAAATTCAATATCCAAAACAGGGAAACATTTCCGAACTTTTTTACCAGCAAACCAACACCCTCACCCTTCATTTACCCAAACAATTATCCCCTGTTTCTGGGAGTTGCGCATACTAACTATTCAAAGAGGAGAAGCTCACTGAATACATCTGTGGCTTTACAGATACATTTAGGAGTGGGTGTGATTGGAGAGCAGCAGGAGAGGTGGTGGAAACATGACCAGGGGCTGTCACTCTTCCCGTGGTGCAATTCTTCTGAGCTCATTAGATGCTATGCTGGAGTGACAAAAACAGGAGCAGGGGGTCTGCTGTCACTGAGAGGGCTGAGAGAGGGAGGAAGAGATGGGAGAAGGAGGAGGAGAGAGATGAGGGTATCCCTCCCCTTCGCAGCATTGCGGAAAATAACAAGCACATAATAACACAACGCCCCAAACACCTTCTATCAAAACACAGCCTGGAGAGGAGTTAACAAGAGACTGCTTACTCTTACAATATACATCAAAGGCCTAAAACTGAGATGAAACTTCAACCTTCAAACCATGGGAGAACCTATGACTTTAGGATGTAAACTGTGATGGAAAATAGAAAAGCGGTTGCATAACCTCTTTCGAGATTAGTACCATACTCGAGTAAGCGAGTCAGTGGAAATGCAGGGGTGGATAAGTGACCTGTGGACCCGCGGTATGCTAAAATAACATGACAGCTTTGAATTATTAATTCAACCACCTTCTGTTTCAAGCTATTGACAGACCTCCAAATGTAGTTCAGTATCTCAAGGCGATAAGGATGCTGAGAATATCTGATCAAAGATTCCAGTTTTTCAAAAAACACTTTCTCTATTATTGAACAGAACAGCAGCAACAACAACAGGTAGTTCCTATCAAAACATTTTGCTTAGATGTTCTGTTTAGAAAATTCATAATGAACAATCCTCTTGTCTGCCTCAGTGATGACAACTGAGGTGCACTCAAGGAATGCACTTCACCCCCAGCCACTCTGCTGGAGCTGCTCAGTGGCCAAGAGAACCACGACTGCGGTGTAAAAACTAACAACAGTGTGATTCCTGTCCTGAGACGCCTCCTCACTATTCAACGGCACTGAGAAGAGCGGGAGATGGATCAGCAATGCATCAACACTGTGCATTCATTATTGTCTTGATATGATCATTTGAGCCCGTGGGCAAAATCCAGCAGCGTAGAGCACTGCTGGATATTTTACAGACTTGCAGCTTTGAGAAACACTATCATTTAATATCTGTTATACTGTACATCCGTCTGAAGATTGTGCAAAAATCGAGGCAGATCTGGGGGGGAATTTTGGTGATATCAGTACAATAATATTCACACTGTAGAGCTGCTATGATTAATCTATTAGCTGTCAATTATTAAGACAATCACCAACTACTTAGATTATCAATTAGTCAGTGTGAATTCAAAACTCCTTCATTTCTGGTTTCTTAAATGTTAATATTTTTCAGGTTTCTTTACTCGTCTTTGACTTGAACTGAATGTTGGGTTGTGGACAAAACAAGACAATTTAGGAGGTCACCTTGGGCTTTGGGAAAAATGGATCCACATTCTTCACCATTCTCTGACATTTTATGGGCTGGACAACTAATCGATGATTTGAGAAAATGATCAAGATATTAATCTACAATGAAAATAACCGTTAGTTGTAGCCGTACTACGTTGTCTTTTGCTGATCTTACAGGCTGTATGTTATAGCCATAAGATACAATGGTCTAAACCGTATCGCAAAATACAGCTCCACCTACACCAGAACCAAGTCCTGACCAAGACCGAAGTGTTTCAACACCGAGAAAAGACCAACGCATTGAGGGATTGAGAGACCAAGTCAAGCTCAAGACCAGACCAATTTGAGTCCCACACTTCAGGACACTAATACAAGAAAATGTGCACTCCTCACACTGATCTCAAAGATTCACGTCCTCATAAAAACACCCACAGAAAACAAATAAAGATTCCTTTTCATTCACCTTTTTTTATCACAATGGGATATATATGTGTGTGTGTGTCTGTGTGTGTGTGTGTGTGTGTATAAGGACACTATAAGAAAAGTCTTGAGATAATCAGGAGGCATTGCAGAGGTGAATTTTATTTCTGGGAAGTTTCCTTTGTTTTCTATGAGCAAACACATAAAAACAAACATTTTATGCAACACTCCTTTTTTGCACAGGCAATTTATTGATATCCCTGCAGGTGTGGTCTTGAAATAAAATCCTGAGCCCTTTTGTCTGAGACAGAGACAAGACTGAGTCCGAGATGAGACCAAGACCTTCAAAAAGTGGTCCTGGGACCAAGACCTATCTCGAGTACTACATCACTAATACAGCCCGACACACACATCAGGAGGAGGTATATTATTGGCCAATTCTGTCTTGTCATAGATTGTTAATGTCGGTGGCAGTTCCGTTAGATTGTGGCAGGTCTGGTATTTATGTTTGCATTTACAGCTGTTTACAATAATTTCATAACTACATTTCAAGTTTATTGCTCATTAGCTGATCTTATTTTGACTGCTGCCATCTTTGATCAAGCCTATTATTGCTGATTGCTCAACTGAAACATAACTGGCCTCATTAAACATCTTTGTGACATCTCTTTGATAACCAAATTTGAAAATACACATCAGACAGCTCTCTTAACAATCTCAAACATCCATCTTGGTATTGCCCTTGTAAATCCAGTACTGGTCAGTTGTAGCTGAGTGAAATGATAATGAATGACTTTCTGCTTGGCCATAATTTCCACTGCTGATTAAAATGTCAACAGTCAAACTGATAATGTTATTATCAATATAGTGACACTGAGTCCAATACATTATAATATTTGATTTTATTAGTATTGCTCAGCTCTAGATCTTATTAAATGCTGGTGGGGCAAAGTTGGAGTAAAGAGAACGGGGCTTGAGACCGGAAAGTTGCCAATTAGATTTTACTATCCATCTGGAAAATGTGTATGACCAGGAAAACACTTGACCCCTTGCTGCACCAGAGAAACTACTTAGTAAACAGCAGCAGAAGCCAATGTGTATCTAACAAACAGCATCTGCATCACTTAACTTTCTCTACATAAGTATCACTCTGATGAGAGGCAATAAACATGTGACAGAATAGCATATCTACTCTTGATGGGGATGAACAAGCAATTTCCATTGGTAATGACAAGCACATGAGGCTGTGACAGACCATATGCAGCAGCACTCCAGCTCTATTTCAGGCTGCCCAACACCCACCATGTGCTCTGGACTGCCCTCTCACAGAAAACCAAGGCACAGGAGAGAACTGCAGCATTTGTGAAGTACCACTGACAGCCAAGCATCCTCTCCTGAGAGGGAAAATTGCTCCAAGTTAAGAGTGTGATTGGAAAACCAGAGGCACTGCACAGGCATGTTGTGCTCTGTCAGGACACCAGTACACAGCTTGAAATGAGCTGTACAGCGATCATCTGAGACACCCTTTGAAGTGAGCGAGAACACCGTGGCTGAGTACCACTAAAGCCTGATCCATCTTCGCTTCCACTGCCTATGAGCTACAGAGATGGAAAAACCTGATAAAGTGTTGTCTAGGGCAGCAGCGATGTGTCCAGGAGAAAGAATCAATTCTGTAAGTAATGTCCCACAGAGAGATCCAACCCAATTTTTACAGCCATCTGAATCTTGGCATTGTTCCCTGTGTCAAACTTCCTCTCATCCACAACACTCTCTGCCCTAGTTTATAGATGAGTTATACTGTTGACAAGTTTGTCTTCCTACTTCTTTCTCCTTCACTGCATCCCTGTTTTATGCTTCTTATAAAATGTGTGCTCCCAGGAGCTCACAGCTGAGGGGATAGCAGTATTGTTAAACCAAGTCCAGGTGATGAATCAACAGCGATGGCGATGGAGATGGAGAGGTGGTGTGAGGGCAAAGTGTGTCTGTGAGCCACCCAGTCCGACTTCCTCCAGCTGCAAACATAGAGCAGGACCAACCCTTTTAATAGCTTTGATCTCTTCACTGGCCTGGGCAAGATTTAGGCTTAACAAAGACATGAAAGATTATTTTTTTTAGGGTAATCTTTGATGGGAGAGGTAGTGTAATCTGACTATGGAGGATGCTTGGAGCTGTGTTGTTTGCCTAAGTAGCTGGTGACCTTGACTTCCTCCCTTGTTGTGATCCCAGTGGGAGTTGCACTTGAGGTAGAAAATAATGATAACCAGAGGACAAATAGGACGAGTTAAGATCACTTAAAGTTTCTGCAGCTTGTTGGTTCAAACTGAGCTCACTTTGCCTGTCTTAAAATAGGCACATATATCTGATGCCAGAGAGGAAGAATAGTGCGTAGTCTAAACAATCTCTGCCTTGCCTGAGCAGCAGAACTAACTGAAATGTATTACAGCAATTCCCATCTTGCACTGATAAAAGTACTTGATGAGGGGGGTTTAGCCTATTAAGGCTTCAGGGTGAATAAGAGAAAAAAGCAAATGCAAGAGCCTCAAGAGAGACAGAGAGTGGGGAGGAAAGCAGAGCATAAATCTGAGCAGAGTCAATTGAGACATGCTGCAGAAAACAACACAGTAAATACAAAGAGTTACAACAGACATGCAGTTATCTTACCAACAATAAACTTCAGAGAGGAAGCGCTGAGGACCAAAGCTGGTCAAGTCATGTCTCCTTCCACAGAAAAAAGGTCCACCTATGCTAGGTAAAGATAAGGATTCACCTGACTGGGAAGACTGGGAAGAGCAGTCGGCAGCGCTGGCAGAGAGTTTATGCTAAAATAGCCTTCATGCTTTCCGCAAATACTCCCATTGTTCCCACCCACTCTGCCACTGCTCCCCTCCCTGCTTTGAACACATCTAACTCGTGGCTTTTTACAACAACTAAGATGCCAGTAAGAAACGAGACGTCATGCCTCCTCATTCTCCTCTTCTCCTTCCTCCGGGCGGAGACTCCCTCTTCTCCTGAGGCTTGACTTTCAACTTTACATCTAACCTGAGGCTGCAGGTCCTTCGCTCGGTCCAGGAGATGAATAATAATGCGACCCGCACACGCCCATCCTCCTCCAAAAAGTGCTGAATTCAACTACCCGGTCTTGCTTGTGATCCGCCACCAACTTGCCACCACCACCATGGTTAATTATATTTTGCCAGTTAACTTCAATCGTCGCGCCCGGTTATTTCTCTAACGCTACCAGTTATTTCACTTGGCTTGTTTTGCTGTTATTCTAGAGTATGCAGGCATTAATTCACACACGCCAAGTAAATACACGGATAGAGAAAAATGGAGAATAAGGGGCTGCATGCCAATACAATGTAACGGTTCACTACTGGATGGAGATGACAACAAACTGCCACAAACCCTTTTCTTCAGGAAATACGTCACGTTCGGAGCCGAGTGGACTGTACGCGTGCGCTTGATTTGTACACCGTGGTCGTCGACAGGGGCGTGTGACCGTTTTCATATAGTCAGAAGCAGAAATAAATTAGCGTAAGCTTACGTTTATCCACTTTTATTCGACATTAACAGCTTGTCTTCGTAAACAGGTGATATAAATTGATTTTTGGAGTAATATTCACTTATAATTTCACGATGTATCACAGTAAAAACTACACATTTATACGATAAAATTATAATTACCGACAAATCCTCGATTAATGCTTTTGTAATGAAAATAAAACTATTTTTTGTAAGAATAGTGGTTGTTTGCATTGATTTAAACCGCTTTCATTGTTATTTAATCGTTATAAATTATTTCTTGGCTACGCCTGTAAACAAAACACACACCCTCGTTTTCCAGCTAGCTTCTCTCTACCGTTGTGTGTGACCGCCATCTTGTGGACGCCTCTTCAACTTACAGCACGGATATAAACAGCACAGCGTACGGTAGAGGGGGCCATAACACAGAGCTCTCCCTGACTCGCATGGTTGTGTCTACCCGTTACAGCCTGGTATAAGTGAAACCCAGCCCGCTTTCCGCAGCTCCCCCTTTAGCACGGACCAAAGTTATCCCGGAATAAGGACAGCACGCATGTGCCGTCAACCCGGATGTAGATGTTTTTGTACGCGTCTTCTCCCCGTCTCACCAACTTATGACAAATTTGCTCTTAATAATGAAATATATATCTTAGCACCGGCTGAACAAAGCTTTGCCAATCAAAACCAGTCCAAACCGGGTTAACCAGCCGTGACATGAGTCGACCTACGTGGATGTCACATCAGGCTGGCAGCTCCTCAAGGGTCTGTATCCGAAGAGCTGCACTTTTGATTTACGGTGAGAGAACACAACAGGGCAAAATAACGTGCATATGTTTATTGTTTTAATAAACTATGCGCATTAAGAACACATGTGACCACTTAAACCTCGTCGTTTGTGAGTATATCTGATTTTTCCTGATATTATCCCGTTATCTTGTGTTGCAGGACACGTCCTGTAACTTAGAGGATGGACTTTCGCGGCAGGAGGCATGAGCGAGGCAGCAACTGGACCGACCCGGAGATAGTGGAGCTGCTGCAGCTGTGGTCCGACGAGTCGGTCCAGATTGAACTGGAGAGCTCATTGCGCAACCAGCGTGTATTTGACCGCATTGCCCAGATCTTGCGCGAAAAGGGCATCTATCGCACCGGAGACCAGTGCAGGGAGAAGATCAAAAAGATGAAGCTGGAGTACCGCCGCATCAAGGACAACCACAAAATGAGGTCTTGGAAGTTCTATGACGTGATGGACAGGGTGTTGGCAAACAGACCTGCTATTACCTACTCCTCCCTGGGCGGAGCTGTCATCGCTCAACAGGTGTTTCAGAGCCCGGGTGGGCCTGATGCATACCTGCAAGGGGTTCCAGCAGGTGCCTTTGGTCCTGCTTCCGCTGGTGGGTTTCTGTTTGGTCAGCCTCCAAAAACTGGAGATCCACTGGATATTAAATGTGAAGATGTTGAGGAGAGCATGCTGAACTCAAGTGTTGCACCCCCTGAGATGTACTATGGATCTGGAGATGACCAAGAAACTGATGGACAGTCTCTACTGGGGCCGGAGGACTCTCTGGGTCGAGGCGAGAGCTCAACAAATGCAAGAATGTCACCCTCAGGTTGTCAGTCCAAATACTATCATTATTATCAATAGTCCTGTCATCATCATAAGGTTATAAATTGACAATTTAACATTGAACAGTTGTTTCTCTTTTTTATATCTCCAGGTTTTAGTGACCTGAACATTGCTGGTTCTGCCACAGCTGCCACCCAGGCTGTTGGTGGTCCTGTGCCACACGACACATCCGAGCACCCCAGCAAAAAGACTTCTCTCCCCTCAGCCTCTGTGAGACAGAGAAAGCGTCGCCTGGGTGGCAAAACATCATGGAGCCATGGGAGCACTAGATGTGGTGGTCAAAAGAGCTTGGATAAAACCTTAGCCAGTTTCCTAAACTGGCAGCAGTCAGCAGAGGAGCGCCTCCTCTCCCTGGAGGAGGCGCGGCTGGAGAGAGAGCTGCAGGCAGAGGAGCGCAGGGAACAGCGTGAGGAGAGGAGGGCGGAACAGGAGCGCCAGCACGAGCTCCGCCTGTTCAGCATGCTCACGGGGGCTCTGGTTGCTGTCAGACAGGGTGCTGTGACTGCTGCGACAACACCGACTGACCCCTCCTCCTCACCCCTAGCTCATCTGTCAGCATCACTGATGACTGCGGCTGCCCCGTCTGTCCTATCATCTTTATCTCAGCCACCTTCAGAAGCTCCCACTATACAGCCTGTTTCCACTCAGGAGACAATGAAGTCCACGCCGCCTACATCTGTCGAGGCCTGCAAAACATCTCACAATCTTTTGGCAGCACTCAGAGGTGAAGGAACTCTAGGCCCTAGCGCGTACCTGTCCAACCGTGGCAACAGCATCAGACAGCATCAAGGCATTCTCCAGGAGGGCTTTATCCAGTATGGAATGGACAAATACCACAACACAGATAACCCTGATGTGAGTCTGTGTCATGAATGAATACAAGTTACAGCTGTCAGACAGCTGACATGGCAAAAATGTCTCTGTTATGATAATTTATGAGCTCTTTTCCTTACTCCAAGGGTATAATCAACTTGGGTACCAGTGAGAACAAACTGTGCTTTGATATTCTTCATAAACGGGTAAGATTAACAGTGCAACCACATCCTGCTAATTTTAAATTATTCTGCCTGAATTCACCAATTAATTTAATTTTCCTTTCTTCTACAGCTGACCAAGCCTGACATGCTCTATGTCGAAGCATCCTTGTTGCAGTATTCAGACTGGAGGGGACATGCATTGTAAGAGATTAAAGTGGACATTTATTTTCATTTCAGATCAGTGGATCGTAGTAAAGTTACATTTTAACAAGACCTCTCAAAGTAAAACCCTCTTAACCTTTCCATCTTGCTCTCTTTCAGCTTGAGAGAGGAGGTTGCAAAGTTCCTGACTCACTACTGCTGTTCTCCGAACCCACTGAAAGCCGACAATGTGAGTGAAGATTATTGCTTTCAATGCTGAAATGTAATACAAGTAATATGAACAGTCTGTGTAAGACAACTGATTCACACAATTGAATATATACTATATAATTTAGTATGATGCTGAATGTGGTAATGGAGGGAATGACAGTAAATTCTACCTCGTAATATGTTTGCTGAAAGCAGCAGAGGTGGATAATGTAACACCTATGGGCAGTCAACACAGTTCTGAGGGTCTTTATCATATTTACATTCTGTAAGATTACAGTATTTACTTCTTTATCTACAGTATGTCAGAGGTAAATATTGTTCAAGATTAAATTCAATTCAAATTTATTTATAAAACCCAATATCACAAACCACAGTTTGCCTCAGAGGGCTTCACAGCATACGACATCCCTCTATCCTTGGACCCTCACAGGGGATAAGGAAAAACTTCCCCAAAAAACTTTAACAGGAAAATAAAATGGTAGAAACCTCAGGAAGAGCAGCTAAAGAGGGATCCCTCTTCCAGGACGGACAGACGTGCAATAGATGTCGTGACAAAATGATATAATAAGAGAGGGAGGGACAGAGAGGGATGCGTGGCATACTGTAATGACAATAGCCATAATAACATTGATTTTAGTAATAATATAATACAAATAATAATAATGCATTCAGGTTCAGATTCAGACAATTGTATTAATCCCACCAGGGGCAATTTGTTTGAACATCTTGCCTTGCACACAAGCTATAACATAACAAAAACAGAATACAAAATATGCCAGGGAGTTCAGTGGAATAAAGGAATCTATAAACAATGAACGTTATTAGACAGGTTATCATAAAAGAGATAAAAACAAAAATGTACAGAGAATTTAAAAGATAAATAGCAGAGGGAATAAAAGATTTTGAATACTGGTTAGTTTTACAAGCAGGTAAAATGTAAGACGCCCTGACAGCAACAGAGAGAATTAGCCTGCAGCAAATAGTTGTGGCTTTCTGGAGGATTTGATTGCAAAAATCAGTCAAGTTCTGTTGTGTCACTCCTGTGATCTTAGAGCAGGTTTAAACAATGTTTCTGTCTTTCAATGTGAGCCTGTGATAGTGAGGCAGTAATATGACATAAATGTCAGCAAATGAAGAAGAACTAACTTTGCAGAATCTGAGAGCGAGAGAAGGAGAGAAGGGGCTCTGTGTATCATATGATGTCCCCCGGCAGACTAGACCTTAATCAGCCTAACTAGGGGCTGGTTCAAGACAAGCCTGAGCCAGCCCTAACTATAAGCTTTAGGCTTTATTATGACTGTAGATAGTGGGCACTTTGCATATTGATATTTTACACACAATACGCTGAACAAAAGGTAAAAGATATAATTAAATTACTGATTTTAAACTACTGAATGTATGACATTTACTGTAGTGCTACCTGAACCACCTACAGCAGTTGTTCTCAGGTGGGTCGTGGACCAAAAGTGGGTCACAAGTCCATTCTGAATGGACCGCAAATGGCTCGCCAAGGTGTCAAGTTTGTAACACACTTAAGTGCTGTTGCTGTAGAGTGAGTGACTAACAGACAGCTCCTTGAAGGAGACACTAATGACTGAGGAGAAATCTGGACACTGGACTCTGGGTACCACTGACCTACAGCGCAACAATTCTACCTATACATTAAATTATTAATAGTTTAAAAAATTGAAAATGAACTGTTCTTCAGAATGACACTTTTTGACTTTTGACTTTAAACATGTTACTTCTATTATTTACTTTTACACAAGTAAAAAAAAATTAGGAAACCACTTAAATCACCACAATACATATTTTTTTAAGGGAGAGGAGAGGGACTGAGGACACTGATCAAGTTGCAGCCTTTAACTGTGCAAACAAAGACATCAGGCAAACACATATAAACCTAGAACAAGTTGGAGTACATTCATTTTTCTGTGCTTTGTTCTCATGTAACTAGTTAATGTGGATTTCTGTGATTTGTGTAAAGAAGGTCCCATGACTGATACACATGTCCACAAAATTATGTAATTACTGACAAAATATTTTTTTAATGCTTCATTCTGCTGCTGCTGTACCCGCTGAGTTACAACCATTCATTCTCAAAACTGAAGCCAGTGGATTTAATTAATCTGATTAACTCTGTAATGATTATAAACACGCTAAATGCTGCAACTGAGCTAACATTGCTTTTTATTTTTTTAGGGCAACTGACTCAATTTGCAGATGTAATGAAAGGCTGTTTTAGTAGGTGGATGAATTTGTAGCATATTTATCAGGCCTCCGTCTGCGCCTTAATTGGGTCTTTCATAACACGGCGGATGCGTGTGTTTGTTCAGGTTGTGGTGATGAATGGCTGTGCTTCCCTCTTCTCGTCTATCGCCGCGGTAATTTGTGACCCGAAAGGTAGGTTGAGAATGCACTGTCACAGGCGCACAATACATCCATATCTATACTGTATGAATACAAATATGTACACAATAACGACAGGAGTTTTTTTGCCTGCTTTGTATTAAAAATGATTGCTGCATAAAGTATAACAGAGCAGGCAAGTTGTAGGACGATCAATAAAACATAACACTTTTTCACTCATTTATTCATTAAGGCTGCTATATAAATTGCTTATTCTGTCATGCCACTGCAAGCAAGGCCTGGTTTTAAGCAATGTTATATATTTCTTTTCTCAATAACTGCATTGAAAATGATGAGCCTGAGAAGCAGCCCATTTTACTACTAACTTGGATCACAGAGTCATTCATTTAAATATACACAAATATACACTCAATTAGAAATGAAAATGTGCAGTACTAACCTAAATAGTGTCTTATGTTGGTCTTAATGTACGTGTTTGTATTTAAGTGTCATGTGGTTGTTGTGTTTTTCCATGTTGTAGATGCCATTCTCATTCCTACTCCTTTCTACGGTGCTATCGCTGAGGATCTGCAGTTTTATAGTGATGTAAAACTCTTCCATGTTCCTCTTGGCTGTGAGGTAGGAATACAGAGCCTGGTTAACCTGCAGTGTGTACTCTGTGCTTGTGTTCAAAGTGTTTGTTTTCTGTACTCCCATACATAACTCACAGTTATGTGGACATTGCATTCACCTGTAACGGGGGAATGCATCTGTTTGTTTTCTGTGTTTTCAAATGGAAACTCCCACTCAACAGTTATCAAAGAGGGATAATGTAGGTCATAGTGCTGAGGTTATTTTAGGTTATTTTACCATTTTACCTTGCTGTAAGATAGCTTTGTCTGATAGGGAACTGAAGCTGTCTTCATAGCCACCACACTTCATTGAAGGAAACAGTAATTTTACCCAGGAGCACTTGGGAGTTGCTAGTGTACCGCTGCCTCCATCATTTAGTTTGTTATTTGTGTAACTTTCTGAACCGAACTAATGTGGCATCCACAGCAGTACTTTATGTGTAGCAATTACATCAACCAGAAACCTATGTTATGTCACATGGAAAAGTTATTAGAAGGGAAGATATCATTTTGAAGCTGAAACATACACTGATCAGCCAAAACATTAAAACCACTGACAGGTGAAGTGAATAACTCTGATTATTTCGTTCCAATGCATTGTTCTGCTGGGAAACCTTTGGTTCTGGCATTCATGTGGATACCACCTGACATGTTCCTCCCACACAAACACCATTGCAGACCAAGTACCCCCCGTCATGGCAACAGTACTCCTCAATGGCAGTGGTCCCCCAGCAGAAAAAAGCAGCATGCCACACCACAAAAATGGCCTGTGGAGCGTGACAAAAAGCTCAAGGTGTCGACCTGGCTTCAGGTCCCAATCTGCTCAGGGATTCTTGTGATGTGCCAGTACCCCAGATGTGCCCCTAATCCAAGGTGGGGCCTCCTTGGATTGGACTTGGCTCTGACCTGTCGAGGCATGGACACAGGATCTCTGGGAGTGTCCTGTGGTGTCTGGCACCAGTGTGTTGGCGGCAGATCCATTTAGTCCAGTGGGTTGTGAGGTGGGTTAATGGCACATGCCACAGATGCTCATTCAGATTGGGATCTGGGGAATTTGGAGGCCAGGCTGTCACTTTGAGGTCTTTGTCACATTCCTTGGGCCATTCCTGAGCGATGTTTGCAGTGTGGCATGGTGCATTATCCTGCTGGGGCGTCACTGCCATTAGGGAGTACTGTTGCCATGAGGCGGGGTACTTGGTCTGCAACGGTGTTTGAGTGGGTGGAACATGTCAGGTGGTATCCATATGAATGCCAGAACCAAAGGTTTCCCAGCAGAACAATGCATTGGAACAAAATAATCAAAGTTATTCACGTCACCTGTCAATGGTTTTAATGTTTTGGCTGATCGGTGTATATACTTAAACCAAAATTTGAATTTTTGGTTTTTGATACATCAAGAACACTACTGGAACACCACATAATGATATTAAAAACCTTTATAAATAAATAAATGAATAATGGAGCCGCCTTTAAGTCCATCATGTGATCGCACACAGTAAGGTGTATTGTCAGTTTTCTAATTTGAATGTTGTCTTGTTTTTTTTTTTCTAGGTCGATGGCAAAGACAGTCGGCCCTTCCACCTCACTGTAGGCAAACTAGAAGAAGGTCTGAAAAAGGCCAAACAAGAGGTAATTCATGAATGCATTTGTCTCTTAAGCATTTGCACTTAATGAATATTTAAAGAAAGACTGAGCTAGGAGATACATTACAACAGTTTATATGCATTGAGAAACTGGCGCTCTCTTTTAGGGGTTAACCATCCGAGGTATCATACTGATAAACCCCCACAACCCTATGGCTGAGATCTACACCCTAAAAGAGATGATTGACTTCTTGGAGTTCGCCAAAAGGTATGTTTGCCCCACTGTTACCTCACGCTGTGGCCCTAACACTGTAATCCTCCCGGCAGTCCTGTGGCTCCTTTAAGCACTTTGCCCAAGCACTGCATACAGTTCGTAGTGTGAACTCTTTTATTTTATGGTCTGAGTGCTCTGTCCCGTGTGTGGAATATCAAGCGCTCATGATGGAGTTTTATCACCTCTCCTAACCATCAGCATATTGTCAAGTGCAGCCATGTGCCAAGGAGTCTCCTGTATCATCTATTGTTTTCTAAATGATCTTGCCAGAGTAATTCCCCCCGCAGACCCTTGCAGGCACTGAACTGTTGTAACCATAAACCACAGTGCTTTTTACACTGATGTAGGATGTTGAAGGGACCATTTTACATTTCGGTCACATTTTCTTTGTCATAAACGGTCATTAACAATATGAAACCAAGGTTTATTAATGCCGCATTGTGTAAATTTACATCATCTTTCTCTCCACAATTTCCTGCTTTAGAAACGAGCTCCACGCTATCATTGATGAATTGTATATGCTGACGGTCTTTGATGAATCTGTCTCCTTTCACAGTGTCCTCAGCATAGACAGGTACTGCACGAACCTAACCTCTGCGTGATTACTCTATTAGATCCTTAATCATAACAAGTGTGACTGAAGACAGCCTCTTAACTGCCGATGATGTGCTCTTATTTCAGTTTGCCCGACCCACAGAGGACGCATGTATTGTGGGGGTTGAGCAAGGTACGTACTGTGCTGCACTGAATGAGAGTCTGAGACTTTGAGACTTTTTATATCTCTGCTCACAGTGCAAAGAAATCTCAGCTTTTCTTTAATAGTTTGCTTTTGCAGTTCTTTTTCATTTACTGGCTCTTGTTGTTTCTAGGACTTTGCAATGTCAGGAATCAGAATAGGCACTCTGTATACTGAGAACAAAGACCTTGTGGAGGCGTTGGCCCAGCTGGGCTCATTCCACGGTATCTCAGGAACCACCCAGCACCAGGTAGCACAACTGCTTCAGGACAGAGGTACGGATCCAAGCTTCACATGTGATTTTGCAGACACAGTGTATTGAGAAACAATCCTCACATCAACCCCCTTTTGGTGAAGACTGGTCAAAATTTACACTAATACCATCAGCTGTCCTTGTGCATAGCAAGGTGTTTGTTTGGTTGAGTTTAAATTCATAAATTCAGATTAATTTTGCGCTTCATAACGGTTTCCCTGCTTCAAAAGTGTGTTGTTATTGTCCCTTACAGGGAAATTGGTTTGCAGCCAAGATTCATACGAAACACACAAAACACCTTTACACTGATGGATAACAACAAACAACAGAACATACTGTACAGAGTGTTTCAATATGAGGTTCTACGGCTTTCAGGTAAAAGTACAAGTAAACAACCAAAGCAATCTGTGCCAATGAGCAATATACAGACTACAGTTAACAGCTAAATGGCAGCAGGGATGAAGGAAACCTTATTTCTCTGGGTCCTCATAACAGTCACTTTACAACCTGAGGGTAAAGCTGAAAACGCACCGGCACTGCTGCAGCACAGCGAGGCATATGACGCACCTTAAATGCCGCCCCTAGCACACACAAGACGCGTCAACATGTCAACAGCATGCCAACAAAAAACCACACAAAGTTATGACTACTTTTATAAAAAAGATCTGTAATTCTTCCACCTCTGCGTTAGCTTAAAATCATTTCAATCAGGAGACTCGTTCTGAGAGAAAAGAATATTTATTTACATGTGCACATAAGTATGAGAAATGTGAAGGCGGTTAGACCCCATCGTGATGTCATCTATTCCAGGTGGGTGGTAAAGATGTAGTAGATTAGTAGATTATTTCCACCCCTATGGAGTGTAGACGCTGGTGGTGGAAATGGTGGTGATGAGATGAAGAGGGAGCTGAGGATCTGGATGTGAAGAGGAGTGGGCTTTTGATGAGCTTGTCCTGGGCTCTGGATAAGGTGACAGGAGCAGTGAGAATTTAAAGTTTGGCAGCGACGACATGAATGGCTGAAGGAGATTGTGGAAAACTTGATTGGCTAACCGGGAGAAGGAACACCCATAGTCAGCTGATTGGAGGAAGTGGTGGGAGACGAATAGAGAGAGAATTGTGAATGGATATAGCATTGAGAAAGTCTGCCTGATTGAACTTACATTGAGCTCCATGTGTGGACACCCACTGATTGAACTTGATTTCTCACCTGAAGTGACAATCTCCAGATCCCTGACTCGCCAGGCAATATCTTTTTGGCCATTGTCTTTATAATGATGGGATTGTGGGTCGTAGAGCTCGGGACATTTCTCAACCTTGACAACAAGTCTCTCCTCATCCATTCTACAACACACACAAGAGACAGCAACAGGAACAGAGTTCTCAGTATACATCCATGGTGAGACGAGGAGTCAAACTGCAGAGAAAAGAGGTGCTACGGGGGCTGGTATGAATAAGCAGAGAGGGAGTGGAGGAAAAATGTATTTAATTCAGGGGCAACAAGGCTGGAAATAGGACAGTGCTGCGAGGTGAGACATCCAGGAGCGCCGGTGTGCGTCTACCTGCCATGGGGTTGTACATAAAAAGTAATATAGGTGTATTTTTAGACACTCGTCGTTTGGTGCCGGTGTGTTTTGGCCTTAATAGTTCAACCTTCAAGGGGCTGATCTTGGAGTACCAGAAGGAAAGTAGCCTTCCTAAGCACCTGCTTGTTATGTATGTCTGACAGTTAGCCTTAACTCCTCCCTAAACTCCTACTAGCCACTTTGCCTGTTTTTGTCGGCCAAAGTCAAGCTCCCATACCAAGCAACAATACAGAAATGAAAACTGATTCAGAAAAGAAAAGAGTCATCATCTGGAAGGAGATATTAAAAGAATGCATTGTCCTCAAAATAAAAGAGAGAGAAAAAATGAAAGGCATTGTTGAGGCTTTTTCATCGGGGAAACAGAATGGACTTTAAAACACAGTTTATTTCAGCACCTTAGAAGGTGGTTAGTACAGGATTGGGAGAGATCTTTCTAAAACTGATTATAATGTCTTCCGTTTTCGAAACATTTAATTTGAGGAAGGCCTCACCACACCAAGATACAAAGTCATCAACCACAGCCCAATGCCAGTGTTCCTTCCCTTCAAAAAAACGTATGATCACATAACTGTCTGAGGGATATTGTCCCCTTTTTTGGGCTTCCTTTGAAATGACACACAAAGCACAAAGACTTGTAACATTCAATTTACACTTACCTCCTGTCATTTCACACTCTCAAATTCCAGAGTGGATCAATGAGGAATTTTTGTCTGAGAACAGGAGCAGACTCAAGGCTGCTCACAGTTACGTGACAGGAGAGCTGCAAAGTCTGGGCGTCCCCTTCCTGGACAGGCCTGCTGCTCTGTATGTCTGGGCTGACCTCAGAAAGGTACAAAAAACAAAAAGTCAGGCTTAGATGTTGGGGTTGAAATTTCACCTCTTACTCATTGTGTGTGAGTTCCCCGCACTGTAGGCTTGATTTGTCACTTCTGTCTCTCCATTTTGATAGTACCTCAGAGTGGCGTCGTTTGAGGAGGAGTTGGGTCTGTGGAAGGGTTTCATCAGACACAAGGTGTTGCTGAGCTGTGGTCAGGCCTTCTCCTGCTCCACGCCTGGCTGGTTCCGCATTATCTTCGCAGACCAACAGCTCCACCTTCAGCTTGGTCAGTCTGTAGTGTAATATGCACACTCTGTTGCTGAGCTACAAGTCTTGTATGTTGAAAAACTGTTTTCAAATAATGTGCTGTGTAATTACCTCACATTCCCATTTTCTCCTGTAACCTGTGGATATATATAAACAAATGAATGGGTGAATAGACATCTATTATTTTCAGTAATCTCCTGCTTTGTGTGTTAAACTAAGTATTGATTGGATAATAGTTACTAGCTTGTTCTGATAATGTTTTGCATTATTTCAGGCCTGAAGCGATTTAGGGAAGCCTTGAAAGAAATTGAAGAAAAAAACACCAGCCCCGATTCACACTCTATCAAAGAAGCCAGCGAGGAGAGCAAAACATCAGAGAAAGAGGACAGCGCCAAGTCAGACAATGCTGCAGTTGTCAATTCAACATCATCACCCCAGAGCAAGTCATCCGACCAGCCGAGGGAGAAGGATAGCCCTGTTCCCGACACGGGCCCGCTGGCCACCGAGGAGATTGTGCTGCTGGACTGCCAAGCATCAAAGCCCGCAGACAGCCTGGACTCTCTGATTGGCACTCTCAGGCACCAGATCCACTCGTCTGATTGGCTGGAGAAAAACACCCCAGAGCTGTCTGCTGGGGAGGACCCAGAGATTCTTGATGTATTCAAGGCCCTGCTGCAAAGAGCCAGAAAGTAAGCTTAGGATAAACAGGCACGAACGTAGCTGCCAGATTTCAAGAGGCAGTGCTTCAGCATCCCTCTTAGTCCCCGCGTTTACGGTGAGAAGCTCAACACAAACACTCGACACAGAGTCAGATCTGATGCCTATTTCTGTGTGAAGAGGAAACATTAGCTGAGAGCAGACTAAAGAGGGGAGAAGAAGAAGAACAGTAATGTAGGTGAGGCCAGGATGGAAGGACAGGGCAGAGCACCTTTCTATCTGCATATTGAGGCCTTATTTTGAAGCTGCTAAAAGAGAGCCTTGCTTTTTTTTGTAATCCAGTCTGACAAGATATATGTTTATTTACTCCAACTCTAAGTGAATGCCAAATGTAAATCAACCAAAATCAGCCAATTTCTGTTCTTAAACATCTTAATATAAATTGTACGTCTTCATTATTTGGTCATATGCACTTTATCAGAATGTATTGTAATTTCTGTAAAGTTAATGATCTGTGAATAAAAGTGAATTTAATGTCTTTAATTGACTATTGAGAATACATCTGAATTGGCTTGTGATAATTATCTAGACTTAAACATATTTATGTTTTTATTTAAAGACATCTACTGCCTTGATTTTGTACAACACATGCTCTTAAGGCATTTCAGTGTGATGTGTTTTTTTCACTTCTTTCTGTTGGGTGGGTTGTGGGTGCCGTTCCGTTGCACCAAAGTCAAGCGAAGGGGGTGGTGCTGTATGACGAAGAGGGGAGATATCTGAGGTTGAAGACGCCATCGACCGCACCACAATGTGCCCCCCTGTGTGAAACTGAGAGTGGGATTTCCTTAAATGTTGTGTCGTAATGACTCGTTCACACCCCCCACACAGTGTCTGCATCTGATACAAACAAATGTCATGTTATATTGCTGCTGCAGAATATCTCTCAAGTATCAAGACATATTTAGATATTTTAACTGCCCTTTAATGTTATTCTGAATTCCTCGTTGCATAATGTCAGCTATGCAAACTTCTGCTTCCTCAAATATTGAGTCGCCGTTGTGGGCGCTTTCACTTTCCCTACAGTGTGAGGTGGTGGGTCACAGTGGAGAATTCACGGGGAAATTTAGCTGCCGGCTGGGGGAGTTTCCATTGCAGCAGAGGCGGAGTAACACACTGAAGCCCTTGAGCTGCATGTGAGGTCTTGTGTATCTGAGATGTACAAGTAGAGTGTTCAAAGTGTTTGTACAGTATAGCAGTATTTGTACAGCAGCAGTAAGTCGTAGTGTAAACTTTGTTCCACCTGAACGCTGACTAACTTCACAGCTTTGCTCCTGACACCTTTCTGTCCTGTACAATGACAAAGGTAAGACTACTTTTATTACAGTTCTACATTCATAAAGCTGATTTATATGAATTAAATGACAAGTTTTGAGACAGATTTTCTTTCTGTTACTCAACTTCAACACTTTAACATTTGTTCTCTCCTGTCTCTTCTCTTTCCCTGTCTTTCTCTCTCAGTGGTGTAAAAATATGAAGTTGCTGGAACTGGGAGACACCATCAGCCGCTTCAGGTTTTTTCAGTCCTGCCTGGGTTTGGCAGGCTGCCTGTGTGTGTGCTTTGCAGTGTGGACACCGTACTGGCTGAAGGATAGGGGACTCTGGACAGAGTGGAATAACACTGAAAGCGACCAGGCAAATCGGCGATATGGCCCTGTCTTCAATGGTGAGCAACAATTTACATCTTTGACATTCTTCCAGTCAACAGATCAAATTAGTTATGTGCCTAAACCTGTCACTCAGGGTTCAGTTACAGCTTTGACTGACATACAGTAATAATAAAAAATGTATATGAGGCAGGGCAACATACTTAATTAAACATAAGTATGTCTTTGATGTGCTGTGTTGATCAGGCACTGCAAGAGATTAGCCTCAGGGAAACTTTTTACACGTCTGAATCTCTAGAGGGAATCAGCATCAGGAGGAGCGTTTTGAAAAAACACTAGGGTACAGATGAGCCTCTCAGCAGTGGTAAACAAGTTTGAGCTCGCTCCAGTACCAGAGAAGTGAATTCTTTGCACAAGCTTTCACACTTGACTGAAGGCAAACATGCAGAAGTCTTGGTCAGCTGGTCTTCGTCAGCCACATCTTGTTTGTTGTTATTGTTAACTAAAAGAAATTATGTCTGTATTATAACTATTATGTGAGAGAGTGAGAGAGTGAGAGAGTGAGCGTATCTACTGTAGACCACTGTATGTGCTTTCAAGTCTTTTTTATAAACTATTTCTTTTTGGGGGAGGATCTAAAGTATTCCTTTGACGGTTAATAACACACAGTTATATAATTGTACGGAAACATAAGGACATTTTAGTAATGTACAGTATAAACCACAAGATTATTTTTAATCATTATCTTTTTTCACTTTCTTTTTATTTTTGAAATACACTATTAACATATCCTTTGTCAATGCAGATCAATATACAAAAAGTGAGAGAGAGAAAAATAAAGTATTAAATAAATAAACTTTAAAAATAAAGAAATTAATTAAAAAAAAAAAAAAGCTTACACCCACATATAGAAAAGAAATATTGCAAAAAAGGATCTTGTATAACAAATAAAGCCTTTCACCCTCATATTTTGTATTTACTTTTCATATTCTATTTCTGTCCATATCCGAAGGATGGCTATGAAAAAGGGGATATAACCAAACTATATACAACCAGAGAGGTAGAAATAAAGGCTAGAATGAAATAAAACAGAGTAAATAAAATGCTTGTAGCAGTTTGGCTTCATAAATTGGACGTTACAATGCAATATCTGGACATAGAAGAGAACGATTATAAACTATTCAAAACAAAAAATCTCAGAAAAAGAGTTGCACCAAAGGTACTGGAAATAAATGAGTCCAGTAAGAAAACTGGAATCAGAAAATATAGAATACGCTAGCTGTCCAGTCAGTAACATTGTCCCTTATGCCAGGAGGAACCAAAATACCCAGTTAAAAATCAATTTTAAGTCATAGATGCTAGGATTGGGTGTCTTTTTTCATGCCTTCACACCTCTGACATTATATGATATATGACGGTATTTGTGTAAACTAATGGTGATAGAAGTCATTGTAGCATGTGTGTCATTGTCTAACCTAAAATCTTGTGTTTCTAACACGCAGATAGCCTACTTAGACAGATCTTGCTGGGTTTAAATACTTATGGTCCCCAGAATACTGATTAGGCAGGAAGTAAGCGCCCCTCTTGCTGTAGGATGCGACGCATTGGCGCAGTGAAAACTGACACATCAGTGGGTGGAAGAAAGATATGTTTATAAAATCATGTGGCACATAAATTGCTTTTGTAGGTAGAAAAGGTCATCTCAAGATCAAGTTATATGTGGCAAAATTCCCTCAACTCAAACAGGGGCAGATGTGTTTTTCTTTTTTACTAGTCTTGTAACATTATCCCCACCACGCGCAGTTGCCATTTCTTTCAGTTCAGCGACCTCTGGTGGCATGTGCTGTGCACTACACAAAGCATCTCAGTTTAATAAAATAAGAGGAGCGTCTGTATTTTTGATGGTACTGAAAATAACATTCAGGATTTCTAAATACCCTGGTATACTGCCCAAACCTAAAAGGAAATACTACATAGTAATTAATATATAAATAAAAGAAAAGCAAAAAGAGTAAAATACAATAGAGGTAACTCAACTGTAACCGTTAGCTAACTATGTGTACATTGTTGTAGCAGGACATTAGCCTCAGACAGCTAGCATAATGGCCAGCTTGGTCCGTAGTAAACACAGAAAAACTTACAGTCTGAGAAAAACTAAGTTATCAAATCCAACATTAATCACAAAATAGCTGTAACAGTACATGAACATGCATGTGATGCTTCTTGTTAAAATGTGCCTAGTCAAAGACAAATGGTGTTACACTGCTATCAAACTATATAGTTAGGGTTTGCCTTAACAAAAGAATGCCCAACTGAGGCAAACTGCTGGTAATTGTTAACAAAGAGAAATCGTCCCCTGTTAATGTTTGTTGTCCTCCGCTGTGTCTTCTTTTGTCCAAGCCCACTTTCAGAATGAGTGTAATGTAGTATGAGCTCAACGTGCATGAAAAACTACCTAAAAAGTCCATGAACTCTTGGTTTTACCCTTCTGGTTTCAGTTGTAGGCAGGGACATGTTGTGAGGGCATCAATCCAGGAGTGTGTCATCGCCTCAACATGTTTCGCTTCATCACGCTGCCTACTTATTATAGCCAGAAAACTCCAAGCAGTACTTCACCCACAAAATGATCATTCATAGATCAGTTAGTCATGCTGTGTTACCTGGAATCCATAAAGAAAACATATTGTTTTATTGATTGATCGGGGACCACCTTTAACACCAGTAAAACTATATCAGAACAACTCTCACACAGCTCCTGCAGTATATTCCAAGACTCATTTACACAGTCGTATGCTCAGTATTTCCCAAATATGCATTTTTACAGAATCCTTACTCTTAAAACTGAACTGAAAGTGAAACTTGTCCATGCTCTTTTCTTTTTAAGTGAAAATAAATGTGTTGGGGAAATACTGAGCAGCTTTTTGGATATGTAAGACTTGGATTATTCTGCACAAGTTGTGTGAGAGTTTGTACATGGATGTTTCAATATAGCTTTGCTGCTGTAAAACGATTCCTTCACAAATTCAAGGTAACATGGTGAAACTAATTGATATATAACTGATCATTGGGTGAATATTCCTTTGATATTACTGTGGCAGATGAAAGTTTATATCTAGTTCACCTTTTTAAAACCATGTCTGTGTCTTTTGTTTTGTGTCTTCTAGCCCTGGAAGCAGAGAGAGTATTTGGATTCCTCTCCTTCCTCATGGCTGTGAGCACCAGTGCTCTGTGTCTGGTGTTTGCCCTCTGCTGGACATCTGAGACAGTGCGCTCCTACTCCAACACTCGCTCCCTCCTCATGGCAGGGCAGGCCCTCTACCCCACCACACTGCTGCTGCTCACCATGGCCGCTACAGGTAGAATATTACGTGATCAACACCATGTTTTTGTGTCTCACTTTATTAATAATTAGGCTGTTGTTGTTGTGGGAGTTTTAAAATAACATATACATTGCAAGTAAAGGCATAAAAAACAGCCCCATTTCCAATTAACCTCCAAATAGCCTTTTGGTTTGTGTGGTACATGTCAAACCCACACCTCCAGAAATTCTTTAATGTACTGCTCATTTACATACCCTGCAGGGCAGCAGTTTTTAAAGAGACTTTTTACTTTCCTTGGAATTGCAGTTCATTATCATACAAACTCTTTTCTAAAGCTCCAGGCGCGTAATAATTGACCTTAATGACTTTCTTCTTTTCCCCGCAATGATACTTGATTTGACTCATTTTTCTCCTCCATCCACAGGTTTCTTCTTCCTCCTCAGCTGGTCTCTCTTCACCTCTCACCACTGGGAGGAAATCAGTCAAGACTTCTCCAGCCTCGGCTCCTCCTATTGGCTAGGGGTTTTCGGTTGGGTGCTGCTGCTGGTGGTGGAGCCGA